TTGAACTTTCATATATCCAATTTTTTATAATTGAAACAATTAAAGTTGCATCATCATAGCAACTGTTTTAGTTATATCACTGTTATATGCGGCAGCACAAAAATAATTTCATTAAATTGACCTACTTATTCTGCATACAATTTTGTATTCGATATCAACAAAAAATAACTAAAAAATCGATTCTCATATGTGCTGGGTGTTGTTAAGAATATTGTCATTACTTACACTTCCTGCTGTGGTGATCACGAAATTTATATTTTTATTGAATGTGATACATTTGAAATGCATTTCCTACAATGAAGGCTATACATTGTGTGGTGAAAATTGTTGGTCAATTGAACATGAATTGTCAATATTTCTTACAGGTTATGTGCAAGTATTCTGACCGGCCGGTGAAACATGGTTGAGCGTCGCAACTGTAAATATTTATGGAGGTGCAATCAACCAATCATGCGTTGCAACAATGAAGTGCACATTCTTCGAATGAACACATCTGCAAACACAGAAGAGCATTTTCTCCGTGCTGAACATAGCTATTCCAACAAGGCAGACATATACAGAGGCATTCCTCAATTGGCATTTCGTTATTCCAGTAATTTGTACCATCATACCATGTGCAGGAATAGGATCCCACTCGGTATGCAGGCCATGCATAAGCAGCAATCATTGTTCATTTGTGTTCATTATCTGAGATAGGTAGGATTCACATTGTCACTTTTCTCTACTCAAGAAGAATAAGAAGTGAATAGGCATTTATACATGTAATTACTATGAAATACTTATATTTTATTCATCAGTTACATGTTGTTCAGTGACATGTGTGGGGGGCAGTGTTGTAGGTCTCGAGGCCGGTCTTGGCCTCGAGACCGTTTTCCTTGGTCTCGGTCTCGGTCTTGGCCTCGGAGTGCAATGACTCGGTCTTGGCCTCGGAGTGCAATGACTCGGACTCGGACTCGGGTCGAGGCCGGCTCGAGGCCACTATTGTGTTCATGAATTATAACATAACATATATTGATCATTCAGATAAATAAATCACTTGGTGTACTTTTATTAATGATGTACAAAATGCTCTTATGTATGAAATCTGTGTTATGCTCATAAAATGGGCCTTGGTTGTTTTTAGAGCCGGCAAATGAGGTTTTGTTTCGACATATATGCAGTCTCACAATAGTTTTAATGTAAAGCATATATTTTATGTAATAGTTGTCACTTTGATTACGAAACTATATTAGTTCGTCAGAGATTTTCCTTATTATTTTACATTAATATTATTCACAAGTACAAAGCTATTAATATACATATCTAAAGAGTATTGTAGTAAATGGTTTGTATGCATTAGTTGACATTGCTGTTGCATGTGGTTATTCTTTGATTATGCATTGTTAACTAAGATTTTTGATAGCGATGAAATATGGTTGTAAATCCGTGTGTCCTATATATGCTCCATTGTATAAGTTCAGTTCTGTGATTTATATTATTTTCAATAAATTAACTTTTTTTCTAATTTTGAATTTTTTGTTACTATACTATTTTTTAAATACAAGTTACATTACTACTAAGATTGTTGCAAGACGGCCCTTTCTTCTTGTGCAGTTCTTAGCAGGGGCGTGTACAAGGGGGGGATCCAGGGGGTCCGGACCCCCACCCTGCTCGCGCAGAAAACGCATCTAAGGGGGTCTAATTTCAACAATTTTCTAGGGGAGGGCCCCCCAGACCCCCCTCCCCTTCGCGTGCTCGCAAGTTTGGGTTACGGTTAGACCCCCCCCCATGGTACAAATCCTGTACACGCCCCTGCCTAGAGTGATCTCCTGTCTTACCAATCATGTTTGGGCCATGACTGGTTATAGAAAAAAACAAGTTCGGTTAGGTTATTGTTTATTTACTATCGAAAATAGTATAACTAGAATAAAAATTATGTCGAATCGTATTATAAAAATTTGAAAAATGTGCTCATAAATGCGGTAAAAACCTGCTGACAAACTTGTTTTAACCTGTAAGTGAATTGCAGGTTAAAATTATTACATTTTGTGAAACACAGATGGCAGCACAACACGTCATTCGGTGTTTGCTTATATCAAATCACTGATCTATATTATATAATATAGATTATATTATAGAGATCAGTGTATCAAATACGTAGCTATTTACGAGTCCTTTACACATACACACGTATTACGAGGTATAATTATGTTAACGTGAATTATGTTACACACGCCCTGGAAGCGGTAGATACATCCCCCTAATTATATACATAAATAAATAATTATTTATTTAAAACCGCATGATAAATGGTGCGGCATTCTATTCGTAAAATATTATAAGATACACTGTTTGACCGCACATATAACAGTACGGTACCGCAGCGTTATGATAACGGTATTCGCATTGTACGGCCGTACGGCTGTACGTACAAATATTGGGCCATTGATTAAAATTTATCAATGATCTTATGCTAAGCCTATAAAAAAAATTGCGCGTAGCAGCATTATACATGTTATATCGCTCTAGAGTAACTTCCTGCTATAGTGTTTCCGTCGATAACATTTCGCTTGTTAACAACTAGTGATTTATTTTGAATGTCGAATTTAGTTTGCACACTTGTAACGAACCGCTATAGACATGTATGTGCACAAATAATATATAAAATAACGTAGTAATAGATTATAATGGCATTTATACATTTAAAGTGATTACGTCACCGTAAATAGTAAAACAAAAAAATCCACTTTTTCACAAAATATAAGTAATTCTGTTCAATTTTTATGGTTAAATTGCTGCATTATACTTCTTATTTTACTATATTGTTCGATATGAACATACACTCGTGACTCATACATAGCCCATAGCAAGCAATTAATGTTAGGAACACTAATATCAAATCGTCCAGGTTTTATGGATTTTTAACTAGTTGAGAAACAATCTTATCAGGTAAGAATTTGAGTTTTGGGTTTAGTCCCGTTAGTTCTTACTTTTAATGTAAAAAAATGGCAACAAAAATTTTACAAATTTTACCATAGAAAATTCGTGACGTAGTTAATTTAATTTGAAATCCAGCAAGTTTAATAATTTTCTGTGATCTTCAGGGGTTTCTCACACAACCGAATTGAAACTAAAGTTTAAATGTTGATATATATATATACGCGCGCGCGCGCGTGTGTGTGTGTGTGTGTGTGTGTGTGTGTGTGTGTGTGTGTGTGTGTGTGTGTGTGTGTGTGTGTGTGTGTGTGTGTGTGTGTGTGTGTACGTAGTGTGTGTGTGTGTGTGTGTGTGTGTGTGTGTGTGTGTGTGTGTGTGTGTGTGTGCGTGCGTGCGTGGGCGCGTTTATCAGTGCGTACGTTCGTGTGTGCGTGTATGTGCTCCTGGGATGTCGTCTGCTTATACGAACGCCGCTGTCTGCCGCACCGCACTAGTTACATCAGGGCTTCACCGATCATTCCCATCCCTCGTCCGCATCCCTGCACTCCTCAGCCTCCCGCCGCATCCTCCACATCTCTCAGCCGCCATCTCCCGGCGGGCGTACGTTTACATTTGTTCGCATCATCGTCACATCGTCCCTAGTGAGCGTTCATTACCATAATATTATAGATGTGCTGCTATAACGCTGCTGCTCGCCAGACGTGACTGTGTGGCGCTTCAGAGTCGGGTTCCGCCATGTACATTATATATATATATATGTATGTATGTATGTATGTATGTGTGTGTGTGTGTGTGTGTGTGTGTGTGTGTGTGTGTGTGTGTGTGTGTGTGTGTGTGTGTGTGTAGAGAGAGAGAGAGAGAGAGAGAGAGAGAGAGAGAGAGAGAGAGGAGCGAGAGAGAGAGAGAGAGAGACGAGAGAGAGAGAGAGAGAGAGAGAGAGAGAGAGGAGCG